CCACCTTCCCAGCCCAAGTGCCTGAGTTTCTTTTGCTTAAGGCTAACTTTCTTCCACTTTGAGTCACAGCTCCACTTCCAGGTTTTTTTTGTTTTTGTTTTTGTTTTTGTTGGTCGTGGGGCCTGAACTCTGGCCTGGGCACTGTCCCTCAGCTCTTCAGCTCAAGGCTAGTGCCCTACCACTGAGCCAACTTCCCAGCCCCACTTCCAACCTGTTTTGAGTAGTTTGTTGGAGTTAAGAGTCTCATGGATGGGGCTGGGAAGGTGATTTGGTGGTAGAGTGCTTGCCTTGCATGCATGAGGCCCTGCATTGGATTCCTCAGCACCACATAAGAAGAAAAAGCTGGAAGTGGCACTGGGGCTCAAGTGGTAGAGCGCTTACCTTGAGCTGAAGCACTAAGAGGGACAGTACCCAGGCCCAGAGTACAGGCCCCATGATCGACAAAAAAAAAAAGTCTCATGGACTTAGCCCTGAAGTGTGATCCCCAGATCTCAGCCTTCAAAGTAGCTAGAGTTACAGGAGTGAGCCACTGTCATCCTGCTTAGTCTTGCTCTTTTATATTAATAAGAGATCATTTTAAATGAATACACGAGGCTATAGATTAGCTATGCTGGAAACATTGAAATTCTTAGATTTTTTTTTTTTTTTTGAAGCTGTACTCCTGTTGGAAGTGGCTGGTTCTCTGTCAGGGTGCTCCCATGGAGAGGTGGAAATGTAGTGACACGCAGGGGTCAGAGGTCACCTCACATGCCCTACAGATGCCTGTGCTGGGGACTGTAGGGAGTAGATTGACTAATCTGCTTCTGGTCCCCCAAAACTCAAGTGACAAACCAAGAAAGTCATAATAATAATTCCTTATTCTACTCATGGCCTGTGAGAATGATGACTTATTTTAATAAAACTCCGGTGGTTGGGCTGGGAGGTGGAGTATGGCTCAATGTTAGAGCCCTTACCTGACAATGCATGAGGCCCTGGGTTCCATCTCCAGCACTACAAGGTAAATAAGAAAGTAAGTTTCATTGGCCCAGTGTTACAATAGGCTGCATCTTATACCTTGAGCAGCCTGGAGCAGAGGAGATGCACCGTGTCCAACAGTGCCCTGTGTCACTAAGTGTGCGAACACGCTCCATTCCCTTCAGCTGTTAGACTCTGGGAAGATACCTTCAGCTAACAAATCCAGTTTGTGTTAGATCTCATTTTTGTGTGCTTTGATACTTAATCCGCATGCCTGTGCTTCAGGTTTCAAGTTTGTAAATAAGGATTAGAGTCTTTGAAGGCAGAGATCAAGGTTTCTGACCAAATGTTATCAACACTCCATCTCAACCAATAGTCTGGGTGTGGTGGTAGTAGCCTGACATCCCTGCAACTCAGAAGGTGCAAATTGGAGGATTGAAGTCCAGACTAACCAAAACAAACACCAAAGACCCTAATTTGAAAAATAACTAATAAAACAAAGATATGGCACAAGGCCCTGAGTTGCAAACACCAAACAACAATAGGATGCTAATAGTAACTAAATCAGGAGGCTGCTGGGATTAAACATGGGATTAAACACTGGCACATAGTAGGTATTGGGTTAATGGTTGCTGTTTGTAGGAGTGGCAGGCCCTTACTGCAGGGTCACTGCTGAGCAAGCATGGATTTGCATATTTTGTTTTCTGCCTTTGCTATATCTAGAAGTGACAGACACAGGCGGAACTGGATAAATATTTGCTAAAGGAACAGTGTTGAGGCTGGTGACATACAACGTATGCCCTTTCCGAGCATGAAAAACCCTTCCTTGGGCCAGATTGTACGAAGATAGAAATTGCCATGGGCTTAGTACTAAGGATCTGTGCTTACCACGCGGTGGGGATGAAAACTCACCTGCGCCTTTGCAAGTGGGGCAGTGACAGCTAGTAATAATGGGCATCTTGTTTCAGGTGCCTCTTCTGTTCCCTGATTTTTGTAAAGCAGGTTAGGCCCATAGTCCTGTTTCTCAGGCCCATAGGTCCCTGCCCCGCTGAGTGCATGGCTGAGACAGCATAGCCCAGCCAAGCTCAGTGCCTCCAGCATGCCTGGCTGGTGTCACCTTCTGGTTCCTTGACCTTGTCCCTGAGGGGGTCTGCCTCTGTCACTTCATTTCTTTGACCTTTGTTTCATCTTAGAAATCTTTTCTTTTCTTCTTTTCTTCTTCTTTTTTTTTTTGTGCTGGTCCTTGAGCTTAAATTCAGGGCCTGGTTGCTATCCCTGAGTTTTTTGGCTCAAGGATAATGCTCTACCATTTGAGGCCCAGCTCCACTTTGAGCCTTTTTTTGGTGCTTAATTGGAGATAAGAGTCTTATAGACTTTCCTGCCTGCGCTGGCCTTGAACTTTGATCCTCAGATCTCAACCTCTGGAGTAACTAGAATGACAGGCATGAGCCATTGGTACCTGGATTCCAGAAAAAATTTGTAGGCAATTTGTAACACAACTTTGGGGAGCTAAACATAAAAGAGAGGAAAAAAAGTTAGCCAGGCACTGATGGCTTACACCTGTAATCCTAGCTATTCAGGAGGCTGAGATCTGAGGATCATGATTTGATCCTGGGTAGGAAGGTCCATGAGACTCTTATCTCCAATTAATCACAGAAAAAGCTGTAAGTGGTACTGTGGCTCAAGTGGTATAGTGCTAGTCTTGAGTAAAAAGGAGCTCAGGGATAGTGCCCAGGCCAAGTTCAAGCCCCAGGACCAGCAAGGGGTGGGAGAGTAGTTGAGAGATAGATTTACATATAATATACTACTTAGAAATTTTGATTCTCCTTCCTGGAATCTGAGAACTCATAAAGAACTGTTTTATAATGCTCTGGGGGTTTAAAACAATATTGCTTTGATTGCAGAGGCTGCAGTTTTAATGCAGAGTGGACAACCTGTATCTGGGACAGAAGTTCACTATGATGGGTTGACAGTGGCATTTGGAAGGTACCCGTGTCAAAAAAAAAAAAAAGGAAAGAAAAATGGGGTGATATGGTTGGTGTACTTTGATCTGATACCTGGGAAGGCCTTTGGGACTTTCTAGACAAATGCAAACTAGTACTGGGGGTGGGCCTGTTCCTGTATATTAATTGCTTGCCTTTTATTCCCAGACACACCTTTAAAAACATAAGTAGGGGCTGGGAAGGTGGCTCAGTGGTAGAGCACTTGCCTTGCATGCATGAGGCCCTGGGTTCGATTCCTCAGCACCACATAAGCAAAAAAAAAAG